AACGAGTCAATGGTTGAACTAGTTAAATATTGGAAAATTAAGTGAGGGTTTGTTTGGCTTTCCTCTCAAACCGCATGGAACATCAAAAATTTTAATTTCTAAAATAAAAGAGGCCATTTCTGATTTAAAACGAGTCTATGTTTAAACTAGCTAAATATTGCTAGCTAACTAGCTGAAGATTTCAAACCGCATGGAACTTGGCAAGTTTTATTTTACAAAATAAACGAGGCAATTTCTGAAATAAAACGAGTCAATGGTTAATAGATTAGTTAAACATTGGAAAATTATACCAGAGTTTGTGAAGCTTTATTTTTCAAGGAGCATGGTACATGGAAAATGTTAAACTCTGAAGTAAACGAGGAAGTTTCTAAAATAAAACGTGTATGGTTAAATTTGTAGAGTACCTATTGGAAATATACATAGGTATAAGAGTTTGTGAGAATTTTCTTTCCAACGGCATCGAACATGGATAATCTTAATTGCTAAAATGAATAAAACAATTTCTGGAATGAAATGAGTCAATAGATTAGTTGAAAACTGGACCATACCATTTTTTTTCAATTTATAAAAATTAATTGCAAAATCGGACGCCTCTGATATAATCAAATTTAACACCATTGACTCGTTTTAAAAAAATTTGACATCGACGTGTCGCTACCTATCTAGGCAAGAATTGCCGACGGATTTCGCGCCCCAGGAAGGTTCCGAACACGAACGACGCGCGTCAATAGCGGTGGCTTTTGCCAAAAGTGACCTTAGCTCATATCGTCGTTAATTTCACAAAGTGACGTATCTCAAGGGAACTTTGATTTGAGATACGTCACTTTGTGAAACTAACGACGATATGGCTGACTGAGTAGTATGCTTGGCTATTAGGCAATTCAAACCACGTGACATTCAAGATGGCGTGGCGGCCACACATGGATCAAAAAACACAAAAAAAGTCTAGTTTCTGCCCGACTTAACAGTTTACGTACCTAGTAAGCAAATATTTTATTGAATAATCAAAATCAAAGCTGCAAGCAAAGCTCGAAGCAAAATAATTAAAATATACATGAAAACACATATTCAAAACAAACTTGCTGGCCGCCACGCCATATTGAATTTTTCGTTTTGACAGATGGATTGAATTGCCTAATGGCCAATCGTCAGGGCCGCGTTCAGATTGCGCGTCCGACGTTCAATCTGAACGCGCCCCAGGATGAAAACTGTTGTTTACTGCATGTTTTATTCAATTTTTTTCTAAAATTGTATTTAATGTAGGATTGGACGAATCCAGAATATGAAGTCGAGACCCTAGAACAATTTTTAAAACATAGAGGTATTGCTGAGGAAACAATACAGTATTTCAAATATGAAAACGTAAGTAGTGATAATTAGGTATAATATGATTTTTATTAGGGATAAAAAAAAGAATAACGGGAATGATTGACAGGCTTGAATTTGATCTATCTCTGTGCAGCGAACAAATAAATGGAGAAATAAAACTACCTTCCTACTCTGTCCAACGAACAAATGGAGTAAACAAAGGGGAGCTTGTCGGCCCGGTTTACAATGCACAAATAACTGCAAATTTGATAATGCGGAATGGACCTGTTTCGTTCAAGTGACAGAGAAAGGGCTATCTTATCGCTTCATACAACGGAGGGCAATGAAAGAAGTTATAGTCGGACAAATACCTTTTTAATTTCGAAAGTAAAACTCAAAGTCTTCCTCCACAAATACTTTAATGTAATATTTAATGAGCCCTAATACTAAAGCGTAATTCCATTTTGTAGCTTCATCTGGCGACCTACTAATTTAAATAAAACCCTTTCAACATTTGAGGAAATATTTGCCCCTGAGGATGGGATCTTCTGATCCCGAAACATGTAGGGCTCATTAAATATTACATTAAAGTATTTGTGGAGGAAGACTTTGAGTTTTACTTTCGAAATTAAATTTTCAATTCCACTTCGAGACATGGATTACTTCTTCGATTTAAATACCTTTTTGTAGTGACGTCACAATGCAGTCACCTGTAAAACCCATAAGAATACGCATGGTACTTGCATGACGTCACTACAAAAAGGTATTTGTCCGACTATATTTGCAGGGCAGGGTCCTTGGGGGACATCTGCTTACGATCAGACAATTTTCTGACCTAATTTTAATTTAGTTGACCTGAGCTTAGTTGCTGATTGTAAGCGCAAATAATTTCGTAGTATACATCTAGCGCAGTTTTGTTATCTGAAGCAAAAATCAGGATATCTTAGCAGGGGCAAGGGGGACGTTAGATTCTAACTTAGTTGTGTCAAATCGTAAGCGCAACTCAGTTACTTTCTTCAAGTTAGGTCAGCAAATGGTCTGATCGTAAGCAAATATGAGCTGCTTACGATCAGACAACTTTCTGACCAGAAGAAAATAACTGAGTTGCGCTTACGATTTGACACAACTAAGTTAGATTCTGACTTCCCCCCTTGCCCCTGATAAGGTACTCGGAATTTTGTTTTAGTCAAAACTGCGCTAGATGTATACTTCGAAATTATCTGCGCTTACGATCAGCATCTTAGCTCAGGTCAGAAAATTTTCTGCTCCTGAGCAACTATCGTCCAAGTTACAATCAATGAACGTCACAATAAACTTATTGACAAAGCTTTTTGCTTGCTTGTTGCTTTAGTTAGTTTAATTTGTAATTTGTTTAATTATCCCGCGGAATTCATATTTTTGACAAATTTCTCAAAGTTTTACACATAAAATCACTACATCAGAATGTGTAGGTACCCACTCTTTATTGTACAGTGTAAAGAGGGCTGCAAAGGACCAATAGGAACCAACTTTGAAAAGGTACCATCGTCACCAAAAGTAACTGGGACACAAATAATTCATATTAATCTCCTGGTCTATTATTCCGAGTTAACCTATTTGGGGAACTTTTTTGACATTACATTTACTGGACACGGTGGTAACCAATGAACTATAGCTAAAAACTGGAATGAGCACACATTGCCATATCTGCCAAAAAATGTAGCCATGAAAGACAGATGCCACAAGGGGGAATGTTGTTTTTTTCTGTTGCTCGCTGACATATGACGTTTTCGAAAGTTTTGTCATATTTCCCTTCACAGGTTTCATCAATTGGAATACGTGTTGGAAGCAATTTTTGACATTTAACATAATGAGTGCGACAGAAACAGGTATCCCCTCCGCAGCAGCCGCACTAGGCCTCAAGTTCGTCCTTATGTGTCAGCATTCCAGTTTTTAGTTATAGTTCATTGGTGGTAACTAACCCAAATTAACCTAAAAGTCATAGTTTGACAAATATTTGACACTAAAAATCAGATAATAGTACAAGAGCTTAAGAGCTAATATGATGCAGTCCCAATTACTTTTGGTGACGATGGTGCCTAGTTGTCCTAATTTTGTTTACTCCGTTCTTAGAGCCCACTCCGTTTGTTCGTTGGAAGAATTCTTTTCAAGGTTCGTTCCTATTGGTTCATTTGTTGACTGTTTCAAGTTATCTTGTAGATTGTAGAGCCAACAACTTCTGTCACTATACGCTGTGAGAGATACCTTATGCTTCTATGATATGCTAGACTGATCGTTGGCTAGACATTCGACATTTACCAGAATAAGATTATTCTATGAGAATAAGGCCTTGTGTGAAATTAGGTACTTCGTCGTCACTTCATATAGTTTATTGGAAACATGTCCTGGATGATTTCTACATATTATATCACAATATACCAGATTTTTTTCAAAATAAACTGATAGTTAAATAATATTTTGTATTTGTATCCCAGTGTTTCAAAAACACATTTTCACGTTAAATATTATTGTAGATTGATGCACCTGCTATTCAAATTATGGAGGAACCCACTTTGCAAAAATATATACCTAGATATGGAGATCGAATTGCTTTGAGAGATTTCTGTAGAAAACAGTTGGTACCCAAAAAACAAAGTTTAGTCGAAAAACTTCGTGAAAAAGTTATGCGTAAAAATTTAAAAACTTCAATAAGAGAATCCACAGAAAGTTCAAAATCACAAGTCAAAAATAAAATAGCCAGAAAAAGCACTAGGAAAATAGAAATTGGATGGATGTGTTCTAACATCAAAGGAGATCTGGTTCAAGTCAGACTTTCCAAAGGGGGAGGTATGAGACAATGCGATGTGGAAAAAACTGCTATGGGGCACGACATAGTGGAAAAGGCAAAAGCATTCTTTTTTCCAGAAGGAAAGTCAACACAAGGTGCGTTGAATACATTTTCCGTGGAACTTCTAGATTTTAAATTTAATAAAATCGAATCACATTTCACAATTGAGGAACTTTACACAAAAACTGGATTTACTCGATTAAAATTTTATCTTGCCACAAGGCACCTCAAGAATCCGGCCGAGGATCAGGCCGACTCAAGCAATGATGATCCTATTTATACACCAGAAAAATCGCCAACCTCAAGCTTTGTATATGATAATAATAATTGTAATGATACCATTCACGGGCTGGAGCTTTACCATGAGGATTTAACAGCTATATTTTCTAGTTCCACGCCAGCTTCATATATTGATGAGTTCCAGCAGGTAAGCTTGATCTGGTCCAAAATCCTTTTAGAATAATTTTTTTTTTAAATAATAATGTTTGGCAGTTTTTTCCGGGATAATTATTATTCTATGCTGATTCTAATTCTAAAAATAATATGTATAATTTAAATTAAGCTGAAGGCGTGAAAGAATCCATAAAAGCGCCTCAACTCTTAAATAGCAAAATGTGTCAGATTCTACAACCCTCTTAGAACAGCAGTATTCAAAATCCTCTTTCAACTTTAAAAGCGCTTTTAAAGCTGGTGACTTTAATAATTTGTATTGCTAAGGATATAAATTATTAAAAGTCATATTTAGTTTTAAAAGCGCTTTTGAAGTTAAAAGAGGATGTTGAATGCGGCTGTAAGTAGATATCTATATAGGTGTTTGTTTTGTTTTTAGGAAATACTGAGGGAGAGTGAATGTGAAGTTCCAAATATGGGGCTACGTTCAGTTTTCTCGGCAAACGTCATAATTCAAGAAGTGGCCTCACCTTCACTAAGGGAACTAGAAACCGAAATTGGGAATGTACCAGCAGTAACAAGCAATATTGATAAACTGCTTCTTCATAGGGGACACATTTTTGAAGAGCTCGTTGAAACTATTAAAACTCATCGTGAAATGGACTTCAATAATATGACAATTGAAGTCATACTACCAAATGGAAGACCTGAAGCCGCTGAGGATTTCGGCGGTGTCTTCAGAGACTCTCTTTCAGAATTCTGGTCCAGTTTTTATGAGAAATGTACTGAAGGAACTGATTATAAAGTACCAATCATCCGACATGATTTTGGAGAGCAAGAATGGAAAGCTATAGCAACAATTTTAAAAATTGGTTTTTTAAAAGAAAAATATTTTCCTATCAAACTTGCACCGACTTTTATGTCTGAGTGTTTAGGAGAAACTTATTTAGACGAAGATATTTTAAATGACTTTCTGAAATACTTAAATCAATTAGACAAAGATATGGTTACATCTGCATTGAATAATTTTGAGGAAGTTGATAACGATGATCTAATTACATTATGTGATACTTTTAAGTCAAAATGGATACCGTCAAAAGATAACTTCAGAATGCTAATACAAAGTATTGCACAACAAGAGATTATTCAAAAACCGGCATTTGTATCCCAGTGTTTCAAAACTGAATTGATAGAAATCTCATCTCAGATAATAAACCTAAAAGAAATTTATATAAAATTGGAGCCATCAGCTAAAAATGTTATCGCGGCACTGGAACTCTGTGATAATACGGAAAGCGCTTCATGCAACACAGAAAACACAAAAAAAATATATGGATTTCTAGTTAAATATATAAAAGAATCTGATGAAAAAATCAGAAGTTCGTTTCTAAGATTTTGCACTGGATCAAATCTGATCACCAACAAAATAAAGGTCGAATTTATTGAGAGTGATGGATTTGCTAGGGCTCCAATTGGACACACTTGTACAAACCTTCTACAGCTGCCGAATTCTTACGAAAACTATGTGGTGTTCAGAAGTGAGTTCAATTCTATTTTCGTTTCTAGTGTATGGGTGATGGACATTATATAAGAAAATATTTAGATAGAGGGTTCTTCGAAGCACGTACGCCAAACTTCGGGAGGTAATATTATCACTAAAACAGAAAAAAAATCCCTAGCATAGGGCGGATGCTCTTTGTTTCCAAGATCAGGGTGTCCAAATTTAAAGAAATGGTTTTTAATTAATATCTAAATAACCCACAATAAGTTGAATTTTAGTTTCTCTATACAAAGTACCTGCTAAATGATAGGTAATAATTTTTATATTACGCATGCATCATAATCACCGATTATCGCAAGCTGCAGCGTGCATAAAATGATGTTTATGATGCGCCTACCTTTTCAAAGGTTTGCTATAGAAACGCTTAATCTATCTTCATTACCTAGATATTCACCTGCCGTTTAAATTACTATTCATCAAAATGAATGAACACATTTAAAACATTTTTGAGATTATGATGCATTTGTAATATAAAATAGCGTATGATATGCGTGTATAAGAGGCCTTTAAAGCCCCTGCGACTTACAAAACACTCCTATGTCGCGCGTGCTTTAAAGGCCCTCTTATACACTTATATCATAATATACTATAAATGGCTTGACAGGCTCAAAAGGTGTATTTTAAGGCATTAAAATTTCGATTATGTGCAAGGTGCCAGGTAATAATTTCAATCAATCTGGTATTAAAGGTTGACAATGATAATAACCTTTGTCAGAATAATTTTATTATTTGGATAATATAATAAAGAATGAAATAAATATAAAAAAGATGAATGCATGAAATTGGAACAAATTCGGTGAAAAAATTATGTTTCACACGGCAGAAAATCAGATCTAATAGGTACCTTGGCTGGTTTCGCAGTGTGGGATTACATCTTTGGCTTTTCTGCCTAGAGCTTAAAACAAAAAACTACTGTCTTCAAATTTTCGTCACCTTGTATGTCAGGAAAGAAGTGTTGCTGGACCTTTAGTTATAGAACTTTTTTTTCTGGTTTTGATGAGTACCTACTATCACCTCCCCAAGTTTTGCGTACGATTCCTGAAACAACCTGTGTAAACTATGTACAGGGTGAGTCACCATATTTTGACACCCACGGTAAAACGTGTACATACAAACGTTGTAGCATTTCATCTGAACCGCCAGAATTTTTAATTAGATTGAATAAATGAGCAGCGCAAAGTAAAAAAATACGTCGATGTTCACTTTTTTTTTAAATGGAGTGCCCTTTATTTTCTTTCAAATTCTTAAAGTTTTTGTTTTTCTGATTCAGAAGAATTTGAAAGAAAATAAAGGGCATTCCATTTAAAAAAAAAGTGAACAACGAATTTTTTTACTTTGCGCTGCTCATTTATTCAATCTAATTAAAAATTCTGGCGGTTCAGATGAAATGCTACAACTTTTGTAGTTACACGTTTTACCGTGGGTGTCAAAATATGGTGACTCAACCTGTACCGGGTGTCAAGTTGTAATGTATCACCACCTGTAACTTTTTTATATTTGATCCTACATAAAAAAGTAACAGGTGGTGGCGGTACTTTATAACTTGACACCCGGTACAGGGTGTCAAGTTATAAAGTACCACCACATATAACTTTTTTATTTTTGATCTCACATAAAAAAGTTACAGGTGGTGGTACTTTATAACTTGACACCCTGTACATTTTCGAATGAAATCTTGTTCTCTACCTCTTTTTAATTTTGACAAACGGAAATGTTAGAACTTGCTTCATTTTATGAGTTAGGTACCTACTTTGAGTTGTTTTTTTAGGTTATTTTATTTGAGTTTCTATTTTCTTTTATTTTTTCAAATATCTAAAAATGCTCGCATACAGAATGTTTTAGGCTAGAGGATAAATTGATAATCTTTAGCACAGAAAAGATTAAGTTTTGTTGGTGTAAATATCTCGTTATATAACGGCATGCTCAAGACATTAGCAAGAGTTTCACATTTTTTTGTTTGAAAAGATATACAAATAAAATGTTTCGGTACAGTGATGTTATCACAATCGTTTGTTAAGTCCTTGTTAGTTAACAAAAACCTTAGATTGTATCAAATGATTTTGTTTTGTCTAGTGCAACCTGATGAGGTTATTGTTGGCTAACAAGAACTTAACAATCGATTGTACTAACCGAACTCTCACTTTATCTTTTTAGATAAAAAAATCTGTAAACATTGTCACTTTCTTGGGCCAGCCTATTATCGATAGGAAAATGTTAGAATTTAACTTTTTTTGTGTTAACCTTGTGTGATTTTGTGCTTATCACAATGCCTTTGGAAATTTAAAAAATTCCGTATACTCCCGGAAATATTTCCAAAAGAAAACGAAATTTTGGACTAGATACAATCAATTTTGGATAATATTTTTCGTCTTTATGAAGCGACTATCATCAACTTTATTTTTTTGAATACTGCCCCCATTTTTTTTTTAATTTTTTTACTTTTTTCAACCGTTTGAAACAAATGATTGAGCAAACTTATATTTTAAAAAATCTTAGTCCGGATTTAAATATTCATAAAATAAGATCGCACGACCATGTTCTTAAAGAATAGAAAGTAACACCGAAATTTTTTTAAATTTCTAAAAAACATTTTGATTGAAGTACCAAATTGCGCTAAATTGCAATAATTTACCTGATCTCGTATCTCCCGTTCCCGACATTCTAATGATGTCCCATAAATTCGGTTGTATGTGTACAATGATAATGTTTAAAACGTTTTTGCTTCGGATTTAAGTCAATATTGTTGAGAAGTGTTTTAAGTTGAACTTTATGATGCTGAATTAAAACAATAATAATAGAAGTTTATTTGTATTTTATTTCAATAAACCCGAAAGAAAAACAATGGAAGCAGAAATTTAACGAAAACATTTAATACATGCATAATAATGTAAGTACCTAAGTATTAGTTTGAAAATAATAAAATATGAAGTTCGTCTACTAATGGGTTAATAATAGCGGTATTGTGAATGGATAAATTGATAAAGCAAAGGAAAGATGCAATTCCTTTGAGATAATGCTGGAATACAGGTGGCTTTTCGGTCGATGACATATTCATGACCATGGGGCGTTTGTGGCGTCATAAATAAATGGGCTTCATGTTTTGCTCTCCACCTTGGTTTTCCGTGAATTTCTAATAGGCCATCCACCGTCCAGTTAGGTAGGTACCAATCCTATGATATTCACTAAAAATTTCTCCGTCAGTTAAATAATTAGTACTTAGCTAATACAAGATGATTACCTACCTACTTATATTAAAGACATTAGTTTCGATCGTAAGAAAACATATAAATCTATAGCGTTTTTTGGATCATTTGTTAAAGTTAACTCATGTTCGTCCATTATAATGGCAGCTAATTCAAAAATATCTCTATCACAAGGTTTATCTACGTCATGTATAACCTGGCCGAACTCAGAATCTCCAAAATCCACCTCACATAAATAGTCAAATGTCCCGTAGATTTGTGGCATATGGTACATGATGAAAGGGCGGCCCCTTGGAGCAATAATATTTCTGGAACCTGCAATTCGATGTAAGTTCCACTCGTCAACCACGGTATCAAGTTCTTCCTGTAAGGGAATATTTTAGTTGAATCATCAACCAAAAACTACCATATTATTATCTAAAATGTATAATGCTTGAGCGCGAGCCTGTAAAGCCTCGTTCTCAGAACTATGTAGTGTCGCCAGCGACACCATCGCTACCCAATAGGAATCGAGGATCCAATTGATCGTTCCGGATGCTGCATTCCCATTGGTTAGCGATGGTGTCGCTGGCGACACTACATAGTTCTGAGAACGAGACTTAACTTCGAATAAACTTAGTAAATCAATACAGTTTTTTCTTCAGACAATAGTACTATACTTGGATACGTCGATTTAGTATTAGAACGGCATTAGTATTTTGTTGCGGTTTTTTTCAATGAATACAAAACTGTTGCCTTATAAGTACCTACCTATCAAGACTTACCTGAATTAATTTAAGAAAGCAGAGCTGAATGAGCGACTTATCTAAAGTCGATCCCGTAAATAGGCCATTGTCCTTCAACTCACTGAACATATTAAGCCAATATTGGGCGTGATGTTTCCTAAGAATGGCCCACCAAGATTCGATTCTTTGATTTGCCGGACTTGTGCCATATATAAATGCTGGTACCTCATCAGAAGAACCGTGAATACTTTCAGATTTTATTGTATTTTGGAGTTCTTCGACAATACCATTTTCGGTCCCCATATCTGCTCGTATTGTTCGTGGACAACCGTTCAATGCTTTTACGGAATCCAAATAGTACTTGCCTATAATTTTTGGGTTATTGGTATTGTTTCCTGCTTTCAGCCATATAATCCGTCGCCAAAAACCATCAATGCATCCACTAATGCATACTCCATATGGTTTCAATTTGTCATAACAATCCATATGCCAAAGAGAGTTAGGTCCTTTATTGTTGTACTGTCTGCGACGTAGTCTTCGACGAGAACGGAAGGTGACACCTTCAGGATCAAGAATTTGTAGTAACAGACGTATATTTTCTTGAGTGACTGTCAAGTTGTTTTGTAAACATTTTAAATGCATCCATTTGTATCCATGTAACTGATTGTGTGTTTCTAAATTTTGTTCAAGAAATCTAACCACAATTGAAATATCACTGTATTTTTTCCTTCTAAACAGGTCGAGTTGTCTTAGTTTTCGTCTTAGATGTCTTTCACTTATAAAAATATCGTGATTGAGTGCTAAGCATGATACAATTTCAGCTTGCTGGAGCCCCAGAGTAAAATAAAATCTTACTAGACCATCCATAATTTCACGTAATTCGGAATATACTGCACTAATAATCCTAAACTTGAAATCTTCCAATAACAATCAGAAACCAACACACCCTACGGTTAAAACTGATTATTCAATAATAATTTATTATTCCCAATTATTAGTTAGGTACGTACCTACACCCGGCTACACCTAATTGTCAGTTGTAGGTGACAATTAGGGCTAATTGTCAGTTGTAACTGACAATTAGGTTAATTGTCAGTTGTAAGTGACAATTAGAGCTAATTGTCAGTTGTAACTGACAATTAGGGCTAATTGTCAGTTGTAAGTGACAATTAGAGCTAATTGTCAGTTGTAAGTGACAATTAGAGCTAATTGTCAGTTGTAAGTGACAACTAGGGCTAATTGTCAGTTATAAGTGACAATTAGGGCTAATTGTCAGTTGTAAGTGACAATTAGGGCTAATTGTCAGTTGTAACTGACAATTATAGAATATTAACGAAAGAAAACACGATGTCCGTTCAGCGCTTTCGTAGGTTCCAAATCTAGAACTGTGTTTTTTTTTTCTGAGAAAAGTCCTTCCGAATATTTTTGAAAATTTGGACGACAAAATCGTTAAAGACCTCCCATGAACATAACATTTTTCTGTTAGTGATCCAATTTCAATCTCGACCTAATAATTTGATCATTGGTGAAGGCGTGACCTACTGGCAGAGTCTCTGGAGTTTTTAAGATTCTTAATTGGTCGAGGGTGTGACTTTGTTTTAGATAAAATGGGCTCATTTTTTAGATTTCAAATGAGTATTCTTTTGTTCTAGCGTAGCCGAACAATTTACTTCTATTTTTTAAATTCAGAACGAAAGTTTTTTTTTCAAATTTTATAATGATTTCGAACGTGTCGAACGAATTTTCCAACATCAATCCGATAGAATTTTACGCCATGGACCCAAGCACTCCAGCCTTTACCTTTGCTTACATGACAAATACAGAGATGTATAATGCACTGGGTGATACAAAGTGGTCCGTTGAAGATATCGACGCAATCACTGCAACATTGGATCCGGCCATACCAGAGTCGGAAATCTTTGGACAGGGCAATACAGGTATTGCAACGCCAGCATCAATACCATCAACAGAAACAGCAAAAATTCCGGAGCAATTATTAACATCCAGTGTACCTCGTCGTCAACCAGCGAGGAACACTGGTCAGAAAAAGTCATCACCACCGAAATCGCCACGTGTGAACATGATTACGATGAAGTGCCGAAAGCCTACAAGAACGGCATCCACAGATTTGACTGGCGAGCCTTCGAAGACCCAGAGATTAGTTGTTCCAACAGAATCAAGCGCACTACTACTAGAAGTTCCCCATTCAGAAGTTTCCTATTCAGAAGTTTCCTATTCAGAAGTTTCCTATTCATAAGTTTCCTATTCAGAAAACAATCCAGCGCCCCCCAAATGGCTGGATTACTTCGAAGACAAGAAACACCGCAATGTTATGGAGCAAGTGCTTGGACTGAAACGGGACAACTTGGGGAGCTTCAAATTCCAACAAAATCAAATGAGACGCCTTGAAGCAGCCATGAAAAAGTGTAAGAAGCAGTTAGATCATTTAAATTTTTAGTTTTCTCCGTATTCACTATTCACAGTTATTGCCTCTTACACTTTTGCATTTCAGGTTAATTTAAAGTTAATTTTTTTTTATTGAATCGGCTTCTACTAGATGGACATTCATGATCTAATAGAAGATTTTTTAAGTAAATTAGTATACTTATTTATTTCTTTTCAATTTTTGTTAAACTTCAACATGTTTCGCTAACACTGTAGCTTCATCGGAAAGATTGTCTTGTTGAATGTATTTTAAAAATAAAAATTGAGTATATATAAAAAAATGTATTTTTTCTATAAGCTTCTATGAGGGCACTACATTCTTTAATTGCATTCCTGAAATCACACATCATGAAATGGAGTTGATAGTGCTCGGAGGAGAACACAACTTTCGTGTTAAGAAAAAAAATAAATGGTATTTTTTCACGTGGTCTCTTGGTAGCATTGTTTCATATATGATATCTCAGAAAGACTACCTACTCTGAAAAAGTAATGAACGGTCAAAGCGCACATGGCCATAAAATAATCTGTATATTTTTCAAGAGAAAAAAAAAGAAATGTGATCCATTCAATAATAGCTATCATAGGGGCTGTTCCATCTGTATATTTGCAAAAAAAGACATGTGATCTGGAGTTTTTAGGATTTTTAATTGGTCGAGGGTGTGACTTAGTTTTAGATAAACTGGGCTCATTTTTTAGATTTCAAATTAGTATTCTTTTGTTCTAGCGTAACTGAACAATTTACTTCTACTTTTTAAATTCAGAACGAAAGTTTTTTTTTTTTAATTTTTAATGATATCGAACCAATTTTCCAACATCAATCCGATAGAATTTTACGCCATGGACCCAAACACTTCAGCCTCCACCTTTGTTTACATGACAAACGCAGAGATGCATAATGCGTTGGGTGATACAAAGTGGTTTGTTGCAGATATCGACGCAATCACTGCAACATTGGATCCTGCCGTACCAGAGTCGGAAACCTTTGGACAGGCCAATGCAGGTATTGCAACGCCAGCATCAATACCATCAACAGAAACAGCAAAAATTTCGGAGCAATTATCAACATCCAGTGTACCTCATCATCAACCAGCGAGGAAAACTGGTCAGAAAAAGTACCACCACCGAAATCGCCACGTGTGAACATAATTGCGATGAAGTGCCGGAAGCATAAAAGAACGGCATCCACAGATTTGACTGGCGAGCCTTCGAAGACCCACAGATTAGTTGATCCAACAGAATCAAGCGCACTACTAGAAGTTCCCCATTCAGAAATTTCCTATTCAGAATTTTCCCTTTCAGAAAACAATCCAGCGCCCCCCAAATGGCTGGATTACTTCGAAGACAAGAAACACCGGAATGTTATGGAGCAAGTGCTTGGACTGAAACGGGACATCCTGGGGAGCTTCAAATTCCATCAAAATCAAATGAGACGCCATGACGCAGCAATGAAAAAGTGTAAGAGGCAGTTAGATCATTTGAATTTTTATTTTTCTCCACATTCACTATTTACAGTTATTACCTCTTACACTTTTGCATTTTAGGTTAATTTATAGTTTTTTTTTTTTTATTGAATCGGCTTCTACTAGGTGGAATTTCATGATCTAATAAAAGATTTTTTAAGTAAATCGGTATACTTATTTGTTTCCACTAATTTGTGTTAAACTTTAACATGTTTCGCTAACACTGTAGCTTCATCAGAAAGATTGTCTTGTTTGCATGTATTTTAAAAATAAAAATTGAGTATATATAAAAAAAATGTATTTTTTCTATAAGCTGCTATGCGGGCACTACATTCTTTAATTGCATCCCTGAAATCACACATCATGAAATGGAGTTGATAGTGCTCGGAGGAAAACACAACTTTCGTGTTGAGAAAAAAAAATAAATGGTATCTTTTCACGTGGTTCCTTGGTCGCATTGTTTCATATATGATATCTCAGAGACTACCTACTCTGAGCAAAGTAAGGAACGGTCAAAAAGCATATGGCCATAAAATAATCTGTATATTTTTCAAGAAAAAAAAGAAATGTGATCCATTCAATAATAGCTATGATAGGGGCTGTTCCATCTGTATATTTTCAAAAAAAGACATGTGATATATTCATCAATAACTGTTACAGGGGCTCATCCATATGGTATCGTCGAATACCGCAGACTTTGAGAAAATAATTGGGTTGTCAGATGTGGTTCCAAATTTATAACTGTTTTTTTTTCTGAGAAAACTCCTTCCGGATATTTTTGGACATTTGGACGACAAAATTGTTAAAGACCTCCCATTAACATAACATTTTTCTGTTGGTGATCCAATTTCAATCTCTACCTAATAATTTGATCATTGGTGAAGGCGTGACCTACTGACAGAGTTTCTGGAGTTTTTAAGATTTTAAATTGGTCGAAGGTGTGACTTTGTTTTAGATAAAATGGGCTCATTTTTTAGATTTCAAATTAGTATTCTTTTGTTCTAGCGTAACTGAACAATTTACCTCTATTTTTTCAATTCAGAACGAAAGTTTTTTTTTTTTTAAATTTTATAATGATGTCGAACGAATTTTCCAACATCAATCCGATAGAATTTCACGCCATGGACCCAAACACTCCAGCCTCCACCTTTGTTTACATGACAAACGCAGAGATGCATAATGCATTGGATAACACAGAGTGGTTTGTTGCAGATATCGACGCAATCACTGCAACATTGGATCCTGCCATACCAGAGTCGGAAACCTTTGGACAGGGCAATGCAGGTATTGCAACGCCAGCATCAATACCATCAACAGAAACAGCAGAAATTCCGAAGCAATTATCAACATCCAGTGTACCTCGTCGTCAACCAGCGAAGAACACTGGTCAGGAAAAGTCACCACCACCGAAATCGCCACGTGTGAAAATAATTGCGATTAAGTGCCGGAAGCCTAAAAGAACGGCATCCACAGATTTGACTGGCGAGCCCCCGAAGATCCAGAGATTAGTTGATCCAACAGAATCAAGCGCACTACTAGAAGTTACCCATTCAGAAGTTTCCTATTCAGAAGTTTCCTATTCAGAAAACAATCCAGCGCCCCCCAAATGGCTGGACTACTTCGAAGACAAGAAACACCGGAATGTTATGAGCAAGTGCTTGGACTGAAACGGGACATCCTGGGGCGCGTCAAATTCCATCAAAATCAAATGAGACGCCATGAAGCAGCCATGAAAAAGTGTAAGAGGCAGTTAGATCATTTAAATTTTTAGTTTTCTCCACATTCACTATTTACAGTTATTGCCTCTTACACTTTTGCATTTTAGGTTAATTTATAGTTATTTTTTTTTTACTGAATCGGCTTCTACTAGGTGGAATTTCATGATCTAATAAAAAAAATTTTAAGTAAATTGGTATACTTATTTATTTCCACTAATTTGTGTTAAACTTTAACATGTTTCGCTAACACTGTAGCTTCATCAGAAAGATTGTCTTGTTGAATGTATTTTAAAAATAAACTTGAGTATGTATAAAAAAAAATATATATTTTTTGTCTTAATGGTGCAATGAAAAAAAAAAAGTGCAATTCCAGAAATTTTTAAAAACAAGCATTATTCTAATTTTTCAATTTTTCAATGCAACTAATGTATGTGAAAAAAATACAAAAGTAGGTAGTATTCAGGCATTCTGGCTCAAAACAGAGACGAGACAAAGAGACACTCCCCCTACCTCGCAAGATACTACCACCCTCATATGAATCCCCCTACCGCGCCTCCCTACGGTCACTCCAAATACTACACACAACCCCCCTATCGCGCCCTGTATCCCCCTACCGCGCTAATTAAAGTATCACCCACCTTGTTATCTTGAAATAAATAGACTTATTTTCTTCTATACAAATCATTGAAATTTTGTCTCTTATAGAGTTAACATATCCAAAATGTTTAAATTATTCAAGCATAAGACGAATATTTATAGACACAAAAAGGAATCGTGTATTTTTCGACCATCTTGTTCGGGAAATCAGATTCAGACAGCTTCAAAAAGAAAAGCAAAAGATAATGTTAATGTTAATTCGGAAAAGAAGCTTAAAATCGATAAAGCTGATGAACCAAGAGTGCCTAAATTAACTTTATAAAGGTGTAGAGACTGTGATACGTGGTACGTGAAAAATAAAATTAGTGGACATTTGCAGTCAAATGAACATAAAAGTGCTGTGTCTAAGAAAAATGTCGAAAATGTAAAATATGTAAATTCAGGATTTAAAAATAGGATTGTGACTTGTATGCTACTTCCATCCAAAGACTATGTAGATATAAATGAATATTTTGCAGAGATAAAACAAAAAATTATCAATCTCATCAACGTGGAGCTGCAAAAACATCGTTCCTTGAAAATAAAGGTGGGTTTATACAGCACATAACATAACATAAGAAATAAGATAAAATAAGACATAACATAATATAAGAAATAAGAATTTTGTGGCGTTTATACAGGAAATAACATAACATAAGAAATAATTTCTAACCAATCAGCTGCTTGGAAATGACAGCGTGTCTTCTGTCAACTGTGTCATTTTGATGTTGGCCCGTGACGTGATCCGGCTTCATTTTGTGTTTTGCTTTTTTTCCAAAATTTTTAATAAGTGGAGTTTATGGCCGTAGTTTTGGGCATTTTTGGTGTAAAACGAATTATTAATTAACTGAATAATGGACGACACACATATTTTGAGAAACAATTTATTACAATTAAAATATACTTATATCCGATATTTTCTTTTTCATATTCCCTCATATCCACTAAATCAGCTTGCATCAAATCCAACAGTGATTTTATAATAACTTTTCGTCGTTTGAAATTTATTCTTGTAGGCTTATGCAGTTCTTCAACTATATGACGTTTCACATTAGTGATATATTTAGACATTTTTTTATTCAATTATTTTAGCTTCACGTAATTCTTCAATAATTGAATTTATTTCGTTTACATGACCTGTATTGCCTGCAGTTTGCGATGCGATTAACAATCGTAGTCTATCGACAAGTTTATTTGGATCATCCCAGAAAGCATAATCAATTGGATTATTTGAAAGTGACATTAATAATCCTTCACCCTGCTTTAGGTTGAGGTTATTAGCATTATCATCTTCATCAGTTATTTTCTTCAATAGCGGCTGAACAACTTTTTTGAATTTTATGTTGTTACTAGAAATTAGTTCAGAAGTAGGGGTGAAGTATTTTTTCAATGCATTGGCTTTTTTCAATATTTGAACATAATTTCTTGCATCATCTTTTGTATATATTGTAGGCACCTTTTGGTTGAATAACAAACCATATAGGCCTTTAGTACCTTTATACTTTTTTCCAGAAACAAGTAAGTCAGGACCATCAAAATTGATTTTTTTATTACCTATAGAAAACTGTTCAATGTCTTTATCCAATTTTACTCTTAATCTACCATCAGATTCTTTACTAATAAACCTTTTTATATATTTTAATGGCAATGGATGATATTGTTCTTCGTAATCAGCTAAAGATCTCTCCATAATAGATTTATTCAACTTATTTTCGTATTCTTTTTGTTTTTGATCTTCTTCCTCTTTCAGTGATTCTTCTACATTTTCAATTATTGACTTTCTTAAAATATTTGATGGTTGCAATTTATTTGTTGAAAAACTCAATTTTCTTTTTATGTGGGGGGCTGTAGCAGTAACTGAAGGATTAAAATTAATTATTCCCTTTGGTGTATTGTCGCTAAATTCAATAGGTGTGGATTGAAAGTTAATTGGTTCAGACGCAACAGATTTCTTGTCATCGTCATCATCATCATCATCATCATCAACATCATAATCATCATCATCAACATCATAATCATCATCATTACTGGATTCATTTTTATCATAATTCATTTCATATTCTGTTTTAATGCCAAAACTTTTATCTTCTTTTTTGAGTGGTAATTTAATGGTGTCTTTAGTATTAGTAGATGGTCCTAATTTATGTTCAATATTTTGTAAATGTTTTGTTATCGGTTCAAATAAATTATCGTGTACTATTTGACCGTGTTTTAGTACATTCAATTTATTTTTTATGTCTTTACGTTTTGATATCAATTTGTGCTTAATGTTTTTTTCCGAATTAGCATTCTTTCTCCGTTTTGAAGCCATCTTGCACGTTTGACTTGCAACTATTAAATAAGTTTTGAAATCATATTTTTAAATATATATGTAGGTATCACAACCATATCTATATCGACCATCATTAATATTATTATCTTTGAAAATGGACAGAAATCCGAAGGGTTTCTTCCAACAATACGAACATTTGAATTTCAAATTCTCAAATGTCATATCTGCACCAACATGATCTGTATAAATGTGTTGTAGATTTAAATCGTCTTGTTTAAATAAAAATATTACATTGGTATTATCTCTTATCAAGTGTTTTGGGATTTTCGTATATGTCTGACAGAGATAGAAA